AGACAACACATACACACAAAGACCTTAAACAAAAATGTTAACCATATATATTTCTGCATCATATCAACAACGCAAACAAAACCAGACAGAACCAACCAAAAACCAAAAACCCAACCCAAACCTTAAAAAACCAACCAAAACCCACCAACCCAACCTAAAACCCCAACCCAATCCAACCCAACCCTAAAACCAAAACCCATCCCACCCCAACCTAACCCAACCCAACAAACAACCCAACCAACCCAAACCCAACACAACCCAACCCAACCCAACCCAACCCAACCCAACCTAAACCAACCCAACCCAACCCAACCCAACCAACCCAACCCAACCCAAAACCCAACCCAACCAACCCAACCAAACCCAACCCAACCCAACCCATCCCAACCAACCCAAACCCAACCCAACCCCAACCCCCAACCCAACCCCCAACCCAACCCAACCCAAACCAACCCCAACCCAACCCAACCCAACCCAACCAACCCAACCCAACCCAACCCAACCCAACCCAACCCAACCCAACCCAACCCAACCCAACCCAACCCAAACCAACCCAACCCAACCAACCCAACCCAACCCCAACCCAACCCAACCCAACCCAACCCAACCAACCCAACCCAACCCAAACCCAACCCAAACCCAACCCAACCCCAAACCCAACCCCAACCCAACCTCTCGTAACTCCTATAATAACAATCAAGCCTTAGTTTCGCAGGAGCCAGCCAGTCTGTCCACCATTTGGGACGTGTAAGTGAGATGCAGGCGGAACGATAATCTAATTGTGCAGTCTAAATGGGCGTTCCAAGTGCTGTTGTTCTGATGGGCGGGGCAAAGGGGAGGTGTGGCGAAGGGGCGGGCCTCGGAAACATTGTTAGATTGCGACCACCTGTTCAGTTTCTTTTCGTTTTTTTTTTTTTTCTTTTTTTTTCTTTTCTTGGGGATGTAAAATGCGTTTATTAGGGGAAATTAGTGTCTTGAGCGGTTTATAACGAAGAGAGAGAGAGAGAGAGAGAGAGAGAGAGAGAGAGAGAGAGAGAGAGAGAGAGAGAGAGAGAGAGAGAGAGAGAGAGAGAGACGGACACAGACAGACAGACAGACAAATAGAGACACAGGCAGAGGCAGATAGAGAGGCAAAAGCAAAGGTAAAAGCAGACATACATACAAAGAGACTGAGAAAAGGAACAAGCCGCATAGAGACAAAAAAATGGGCTAGAGAGAGATAGAGGGAGGGAGGGAGAGAGAGAGGGAGAAAGAAAGAAAGAAAGAAGAGAAGAAAGAAAGAGAAAGAGATTAAAAGGAAAAACAGCAGGATTAAAACGTGATATTTTCCCCTTTTTTTCCTGTTCTTTTTAAGGCCACCCACAGGACACAACAATAGACCGCAATCAGGCAAAAAAAAAAAAAAAAAAAAAAAAAAAAGCGAGGTACACAAAAAATGGAATTTAGAATAAAAGATGTTGAAAAATTGATGGGAAAAAAAAGAAATAAATTGTTGAAAGGCAGTATAATGTGATTTGCATTGCTTTCTGTGAGAATAAATATTTGTACATGCGTATATAAATACATGAATAGATAGATAGATAAATAGATATATAGAGAGACAGATAGATAGATAGACGGGTAGTTAGACTGATAGAGAGTTAGATCGAGAAATAGATAGCTAGATAAGTAGATAGAGAGACAAATAGGTAGATAGACATGCATATATACTTATATACGTATGAATGTGTATATATACTCCTATTCTCACCACGGAATTAATGTTCAATAAATAGGGGGGATTAACGAAAAAAAATAATCACCTTAGATTAAAGTAAATTTTTAGGAGACAAAATTTCTATACGTAGGGCAGACATTTTTTCTTATATAATTAATGTAGATTTTATCTTTTCTTTTATTCTTAATAATGATAAGAAAAATAAAAAATCAGGAGACAAAATTTCTGTACGTAGGGAAGACATTTTTCTTTTGAAATTAATGTAGGTACCCTCCATCTCCATCTTTTTATTCTTATTAATGATAAAAAAAACGTTTTAAAGAATATAGTGACTAGATTCTCCCATCTCCATTTTCTTTTATTCTTAATAATGATAGAAAAAACGTTTTAAAGAATATAGTGACTAGGTTCTTCGCACAATAAAGACGCACTGAGGAGGAGAAAGGCGGAATATAAGATAATTTCATGCCAGTTGTCCTGCAACTTTGCAACATCACCGCACTCCTGCTCTTTCTGCCTCACCCACTAAAAAAAAAAAAAAAAAAGCAATTTTAAGAGTGTGAAAACGGCCTTGTCTCACCCCCCCCCCATTCATCCCCCACCTATTATCCTTCTCTAACCCTCCCTCACTCCCATACCCTCCCCTTCCCTCTTTTTCATCTCATCCCTCCTGCTCCCCCCCCCCCACCCCCATTTCCTCTCCCTTCCCTTCTATATATCCTTCCCTTCCCTCCTTCACCTCATCCCTCCTGCCCCCCCCTCCACCCATACCCTCTCCCCCTTTACTCCCTTACCCTGAACCCTCCCCTTTCCCTCCCTCACCCATACCCCCTCCTTCCCCTCCACCTCGTACCTCCCTTCTCCCTTTCCCCCCTCCCTCCCCCCTCGACCCCACAACTTCAGTAACCCCCCCCCCCCCCCATTCACTTCTCCCTTCCCTCCCTCCCTCCCTCCCCCCTTTCACCCTTCCGCTCCACGCTGGGCAACAATTGGTCTGATTAAGGGAGCATTAGGGTTACATTTTCTCCCTTAATGTCGCTCCTCGTTGATGCTGCGGAGGGGAGGGGGAGGGAGAGGAAGGGGAGGGGGGGGAGGGAGGGGGAGGGGGAAGAGGGTGGGAGGAGGGGGGGCAGGATGCTCTTCGCCCGCAGATGGGTATCTTCTGGTCCCTTCTAATGTGTGCTGTTGTGTGTGTTATTGTTATTTATGCCGTTTTTACGTGCTTATTTTTTCGGTGATTCGTTAGTTCCCATTTTAATGGGGTTGTTATCATTGCTTTCGTTATTCTGCGTGTGTGTGTGTGTGTGTGTGTGTGTGTGTGTGTGTGTGTGTGTGTGTGTGTGTGTGTGTGTGTGTGTGTGTGTGTGTGTTGTGTGTGTGTGTGTGTGTGTGTGTTGTGTGTGTGTGTGTGTGTGTGTGTGTGTATATAAATGTATGTATGCATGTATGTATGTGTTTATCCTTTTATGCATTCAGTAGATACAGCACATTTAAATTCTACATTACTTTTCTCATTGCAATAACGTGATTTTGCAACAACCGACTCATTTGCATAGTTTCGCTATTCATTCTTTTACAATTGACTTTAATTGCAGTTTATATGAGTTTACCTAACCAGATAAACTGCAATTGATGTCTGCAATTAACTCTCATCGATTTATAATTTCCGCCGAATAATATACGCGCAGCATTGTTGAAAAGCTAGGTATATGCTTTTGGAAATTATTGTTGCTATAAACCGTCATCATCTCGGATTGTTATTGTTTCCAAGGTGCGATGACGTGTTTAGGTCGTGTTTTTGTGTTGTTCGTTCGTATGACTGTTGCCTTGATGTTGGAATGAATTCTCTCGTTTCAAGTGATTGTTATTGATGGTTCGGTTTTAATAGAGTTTGTAGTTGTTATTATTGTTTTTTTGTTTTGTTTTTGTTTTATCATGATTTTTTTATTGGTGTAGTTGTTGTTATTATCATTATTATAATGGTAATGATAGTAATTATTATTATTACAGTGGTGATGAAAGTAATGATGATGATCATAACAGTGATGATGATGATAATGAAGATGATGATAATAACGATAATAATACTGATAATGATGATCATCATTGTTATTGATGTTTTTATTATTGTTATTATTATCATTATCATTATTATTATTCATTGATTGTCATTATCATTATAATGTTGCCTCAACCATTGTCATTATCATCATTATCAACATCATTATCAATAACAGCATAATCATATTACACTCTATTTATGCTTCACTTCCACCATCATCATTGCCATCGCTCGCCATTATCATTATCGTTATCGTCTCCCTTATCGTTATCAGCATCGCCAATAACAGTTGCAGAGTCGGCCCCGCACTCTATCTCCCCTCGGCGTGCGATCGCGAGGTTGAAATCGGAAATCGGTTGTGGAGTGGCGGCGCTAAGGCTTAAAATCGGCGAAATCGGGCTGGCTTTCATCTGGGATTGCTTCTGTCTTTGTGATGGAGGTGTCTCGGTGTGTGTTTTTTTTTTTTTTTTTTGTTGTTGTTTATTTTTAGATGTTTCTATCTCTTTTCCTTTTCTCTGTCTCTCTTGTTTCTCTCTCTTCTCTCTCTTCTCTCTCTCTCTCTCTCTCTCTCTCTCTCTCTCTCTCTCTCCTCTCTCTCTCTCTCTCTTCTCTCTCTCTTCTCTCTCTCTCTCTCTCTCTCTTTTTCTTTTCTCTCCTCCTCCCCATCTCCTCATCCTTCCTTCCTTCCTCCTCCCCTCCCTCCTTCCTCCCCATCTCCCCTCCGCCCTAATCCGTTGATGCGAGTACCAAGCACTTCCGTCCAATGGCCGGTGTTTCTCCCAAGTCGTTTTCGGAGACCTCGGCGCTAATGGGACCGGATTAAATTTGGATGAGTTTCTGAAGTCGATAAGGGAGATTCTTTTTTTCTTGGGGGGGGGGGGGGGGGAAGGAGGGAAGTTTGGGATTGTTTCTCTGGGATAGTGATTTACTTGTATGGTGTTGATTTTTGTTGTTACGGTTGTTGGTGGTATGGTTATTATTGTCGTCGTCGTCGTCATCATCATCATTATATCATTATCATCACCATCAGATGATATGATCATCATCATCGTCATTATCATCACCCACCACACCACCACCACCACCATATCACCATATCACCATAACCATTACTATTGAAATGATCATCGTAACACATATCACCATACCCATTACTATTGAAATTATCCCCATTACCCTTATCATGGCACCCCTAACCCCCCCCCTCTCAATTGCAGTATCAACGACCCTGGAGATTCTGGACATCAAGGGCCCGAGTGTGATCGTCAATGGCTCGGTCTCGATGCTCGTCCTCGACTGCGACTACGACCTGAGAGTAACCGGCCGGGCTGGTCGTCAAGTGGTACTACAACCGCCAGCCGTTCCCCGTGTACCAGTGGATTCCTAATAACGGTCCCCAGGTGGGTGGATTATTTTCTCTTATTTTTTTGTTCTCATTAAAAAAAAAAAAAAAAAAAAAAAAAAAAAAATATTTTTTCATGTTTTTTCTCCTCTCTCTCACTCTCTCTCTCTCTCTCTCTCTTCTCTCTCTCTCTCTCTCTCTCTCTCTCTCTCTCTCTCTCTCTCTCTCTCTCTCTCCTCTCTCTCTCTCTCTCTCTCTCTCCACTGACTGCTCGTTTATCTATTAAGTATTAATTCAGTTTTTAATGATTTAGCTTTTTTATTATTTTTTGTATTATTTCTATGTGTTTCTGGGGAGTGGGTTTTCATAGTGGGTGGAATTGGAGGAAGGGGGAGGGGGGTATAAATAGTGATGAAGATAGTATTTGATAACGATGGTGATGATATTGTTAACTGATATTTTGTAAAATGGTACTATAACTATTATATAATAAAGATGTGGATAAAAATGAATGAAAAAATAATGCAGAAAAGAATAGAACATACATCATAGGGACAACGACAGAGCAACAGAGTGAGAAAGAAAACTCATTATATACATAAAGGTCATCCAACGCGTTACTGTCAACACGAAACAAACCTTACGTACTGCTGATGCACAAACTCCATTAAAGTTCTCAAAGGATCTCGACTCAATCCCCTTTTATTTCGGATTCTCTTCTATGGGGAAAGGAAGGGGGCGGGGGGCGGGGGGTGGGGGGTGGGGAAAGGAAGGGGGAGGGAAGGGGGGAGGGGGGTAAGATAAGGGGGGAGGGGGTTGTTCATTAAGACACGTTTCCTTCGAGTTTTTTGTTTTGTTTTGTGTTTTTTTCTTTTTTTCCTTCCTTTCTCCTTGTTCCGTCCTCATTTCCTTTTTTTCTGTTAATAGGTCTGTTTCTGTTACTGTGTCTCCTGTTTTTTTGTCCTCTGTGTCTTTATTTCTCGTTCTCTCCTCTCCTCTCTCTCTCTCTTTCCTCTCCTCTCTCTCTCTCTCTCTTCTCTCCTCTCCTCTCTCTCTCTCTCTCTCATTTTCTCTCTCTCTCTCTCTCTCTCTTCCTCTTCTCTCTATCTCTCTCTCTCTCTCTCTCTCTTCTCTCTCTCTCTTCTCTTCTCTCTCTCTCTCTCTCTCTCTCCTCTCTCCTCTCTCTCTCCTCTCCTCTCTTTCTCTCTCTTTCTCTCTCTCTCTCTTTCTTTCTCTCCTCTTCTTTCCTCCCTCTATCTTTTCTCCTCTCTCTTCCCCTATCCGTCTCTCTCTCCTTCTCCTTACCGCCTTCTTTCTCCCCTCTCCATGACCTCTCCCTTTCCCTTCTTTTTTTCTTCTCCCTCTTCTCCTCCTCCCCATCTCTTCCTCCACCCTATGTCTTGCTCTCACCCTCCTTTTTCCTTCCTTTTCTTCCCATCTTCTCCATCTCCTTTCTTTCTCCTCCTCCATTTCCCTTTCCTTTTCCTTCTCTCTCTCTTCCTTCCTTCTCCGCCTCTCCCTCACCTTTCCTTCTATCTACTTTCCCTCCTTTCCTTCTCTCTCTCCCTCACCCTTTCCCTCTGTCCCTCTCCCTCTTCTTCTTCCTTTCTTAATCTCCCTTTCCTTCCTTCTCTCTCCTTTCACCCATTCCCTCTCCTCTACCTCTTCTTCCTCCCTCTTCTTCTCCTTTCTCTCTCCTTCTCCTCTTCTCTCTCCTTCTTTCTTTTTCTATCCTCCTCCCTTCTTCCTCTTCTTCTTTCCTTTCTCTCTCATTCTTTCTTTCTTCCCTAACCTTCCCTCTCTTCCTTCTTCTTTTCTTCTCTCTCTCCCCCTTCCTCTTCCCCTTCCTTCTTTCTTTTCTCTCTCCCTTCCTCTCCCTCTCATTCTTTTCCTTTCCCTCCTCTCCCCCCTTCCTCTCCACTCTCATTCTCTTTCGTTCTCTCTCCCCCTTCCTCCCCGTCTCCTTCTTCTTTTCTCTCTCCCCCTTCCTCTCCCTCTCCTTCTTCCTTTCTCTCTCCACCTTCCTCTTCCGAACAAAACCCCTTTTCCTCGGTCCCTGTGTTATCACTCCAGATCTCTCTCGCCTCGACCTCATTTTCCTCCCCTTTTTAGACGCATCCTTAAGACACAATGCTTTGGAGGGTCACCCATAGGGGGGTGGGAGGAGGAGGAGGTGGAGGGGGAGGTTGTGGGAGGGGGAGGGGGTGGAAGGGAGAGGGGTGGAAGGGAGATGGTGGGGATAGAAAATGGGAGGGGATAGGGAGGGTGGTGGTGGGATGGTATGTGTGTGTGTGGGGGGGGGGGGTTAGAGGGAAAATGGTAGGGGTTGGTGGTGGTGATTGGGGAGGGGGGAGAGGGGATGTAGAGGGGAAATGGTGGGTGATGATGGTGGTGGTGGGGGTAGGGGATCGGAGAGGGGAAATGGTGGGGGAAAGTAGTAGGGTGACTATAGTTGGTGACGGAGGAGGCGGGGGGGGGGGGGGGACTGGGTGATCGTCTAGAGAAGAGAAGGTGGAAGAGGGAGTTTGGTGGGCGGGCGCAGGGGGGGGGGGTGCATGGGTAGTGGGGACAAAGATGGAAATAAGAAGGGGAAGAGAGTGATGGATGGTACGAGGATAGAAAGAGTGAGGAGGATGATAAAGGCGATGTTGTGATGATGATGATGGATGAGGGGTGATGATGATGACAATGATGGTAATGAGGTGATGGACATACAGACAGACAAACAGATAGACAAGACAGACAGACAAACAGACAAGACACACAAGACAGACGACGCGCAAACAAGACAAATAAACGAACAAACAAACGAACAAACAGACAAACAAACAGAGACAAGACACACAAGACAGACAGACAAGACAAACGGACACAACAGAAACAAACAGACAGACATCACAACAAAAAGCTCCATATCCGCTCCGATTTGCGCGGAAATGTCGGCTTTGTGATGTAATTATAGTCTGATTTGACGGCGTTGGTCCGTTAGCCTGATATTTGATTCATTTTTAAACCCGCTTGATGTCGCAGCGAGCCAGCCAACCCGCGCGGGAATGGTCGAAGCCGCGGGGTCGAGTGGGACTCGAAGCTCTCTCCGCTCGCTCTCTCTCTCTCTCTCCTCTCTCTCTCTCTCTTCTCTCTCTCTTCTCTCTCTCTCTCTCTCTCTCTCTCTCTCTCTCTCTCTCTCTCTCTCTCTCTCTCTCTCTCTCTCTCTCTCTCTCTCTCTCTCTCGCTCTCTCTCTGCTCTCTCTCTCTCTCTCTCTCTCTCTCTCTCTCTCTCTCTCTCTCTCTCTCTCTCTCTCTCTCTCTCTCTCTCTCTCTCTCTCTCTCTCTCTCTCTCTCTCTCTCTCTCTCTCTCTTCTCTCTCTCCTCTCTCTCTCTCTCTCTCTCTCTCTCTCTCTCTCTCTCTCTCTCTCTCTCTCTCTCTCTCTCTCTCTCTCTCTCTCTCTCTCTCTCTCTCTCTCTCTCTCTCTCTCTCTCTCTCTCTCTCTCTCTCTCTCTCTCTCTCTCTCTCGCTCTCTCAATCCCTCCTTCCCTGCTTCCATCTGCTCTTTACCCTCCAATCTTCCATCCTTACATCTGTTACATAAAAAAAAATGGAATGACCGCCCCCCCCCCCCCCCCCCCCGCGCCCTGTCATTTCCAACCCGGGTTCAAAAGTCACGTTCCGGTCCTTTTTCAACTGATTTTCTATTGTAACAAAAGGTTCTTATACAGAAAAGAGTTCCACCCGATGAACCGGTCTATAGTTTAAGCTGAAAATTATGTTTTTTTCTTTTTTTCTTCTTTTTTTTTTTTTTTTTACGTCGATATTGTTTCTTAATTTTTCGTCCGGTAGTATCGTATGCGAAGTCTGTTGTGACCGAGTTAATTAGTGGTTCTCTCTTTTTTTCGTTATTTGAGAATTATTCGATATTGTTAGAGAAAAGATTTCTCGATTTTATATAACTCGGCCACTCATTTTTTTTTTTTTCCATCGTTCTATTGTGAGGTGGAGACGCGCTGGTGTCTCGGGGAATATTTTAGAAATATGTATAAAAATGATTAGTATACAAGAAGAAAATGGTAAGAGCGAAACACTAGAAGCATAACATCATCATGTTCACTCTCATCACCATCATTATCACTATCATCATCATCATCATCACCATCATTATCATTATCATTATTATTATTATTATTATTATTATTATTATTATTATATTTATTATTTATATTATCATATCATCATATCATCATATCATCATCATCATCATCATCATCATCATGTCATCATCATCGATCATCATCATCATCATCATCATCATCATCATTCATCATCATTATCATCATCATATCATCCTCATCATCATCATCATCATCACCATCACCCCTGCCTCATCTCAAACACGAAACAGCATCACCCTTTCAAGCAGATCATTAATAAAGACCCAGCCACAAGTAAAGAAGAAGAAGAAGAAGAAGAAGAAAGAAAACACTCACTTCCACCCTCTCCTTTTCCCCCTTTTTCCTTTCCCTCTCCCTCTTCTTCTCCTCTCCATCTCCTTTTCCTTCTCCTCCTCATTCCCTTACCCTCGTTTTGCTCTCTCTCTCTCTCTCTCTCTCTCTCTCTCTCTCTCTCTCTCTCTCTCTCTCTCTCTCTCTCTCTCTCTCTCTCTCTCTCTCTCTCTCTCCCTCTCCCTCTCCCTCTCTCCCTCCCTCCCTCCCCTCTCCCTCCCTCCCTCTCCCTCTCCCTCCTCCCTCCCTCCCTCCCTCCTCCCTCCCTCTCCCTCTCTCTCCTCTCCCTAACTCTCCTCTAACTCCCCCTCTCTCCCTCAAGAAAAAGAAAAAAAAAAAAACCACACTCATCACCATACCATTCCCGGGCGTCACCATACCCGCGCTCGTATTTCAAACCGCAGCCAATATCTGCGATCCCCCCCCCCCCCCCCCCCCCGCGTCTGTTCTCCGCTCCCCAGTTTAGATTTTCAATTTACTTGCAGCGGCGACGTGGCCATTTTTTTTTTTTTTTTTTTTTTTTTTTTTTTTTTTTAGCGACGTTTACCAGACGTTGTTATATGTGTGAAACTTGTTACTGTTGCCTGTAGGTTTTTTTTTTTTCTTTCTCTCTCTTTTCTTTTTGTAGGGGGAGGGGTGGGATGGGGGGGGGGTTAGGGGTTCTGGAAGGTACTTTTGTTTTCTTTTGAAAAGAAAAAATGATCTTGATTTTATCGTATTATATATATATATATATATATATATATATATATATATATATATACTTATATATATATACATACACACACACACACACACAATATATATATATATATATAGCGCATAGCACACACACACACACACACACACACACACACATCACACACACACACACACACACACACACACACACACACACACACACATACACACACACACATGTACATATATAATATATATGTGTGTGTATGTGTGTGTGATATATATAGAATACAATCAAACATTTCCCCTCCCCCAATTCTCAACGCCCCCCTCCCCCAAATCAGCACCCCCTCCCCCCTCTATTCTCAACCCTTCCCCTTCCTTCCCTCCGCAGGACCTGGGACTCCTGAAGGGGCGGCTGGACCTCAAGCACCAGGTGTCCGAGGACGAGTACATGAAGCACCGCGCCCTCGCCATCGTGAACCCGACCTCGGAGCTCACGGGCGAGTACACCTGCTGGATCTCCTCCTTCGAGAGCGAGGCCTACAAGAGGAAGAAGATCATCATTTACTGTAAGTAGAGTTTTTTGTTTTGTTTTATTTTGTTTTGAGGTTTTGAAGTTTTGGTGTTTGTTAGTGGTTGTGAAGATGTTTTTTTTTCTTTTCTTTGTTTTTGTATTTTCTTTGGTCTTTTTTTTATTTTGTTTGTTAGTTTTTGCGATTATGTTTTTCTTTTCTTTTTTTTGTTTTTATGTTTTATTTGTTGTATGTTTGGGATGTTTTTTATTATCTTATTTTATTTTCTTAGCTTTTTTTGGTCATCTTAGTGGGGGAAGGTTTGAAATTTTTGGGGGGTGAGGAAGTGAATGTTTCTATTGGTGTTGAAAGGGGAACAGGGAGCGATGCGATATTAAACCAGATCGAACAGAAAAGGCCGGAACCTTCTGATGACGTCATCGCGACCCAAGTGACGTGGGGGAGGAGCCGCGGCCTCACCTCGCGCCCCGCATTCGACAAGCACAGCTGACACGGGCGAGTTCTGCAATCGGCATTGTGGGATCCTGCACCGTCAGCGCGCGTTCCGTGAGAGATCCGGCGTCGGGTTGGTGATATCTGCTCCGGATCAGAGATAACGGTGCGAGTCGGGGATGAGATCTCCAGCTCCGGTGATGATGCTTCGGGGGGGGGGGGGGCGTGGGGATGGGGGGGGGGTTCTCGCGCGTCTCTGGGCCAAGCGGGAAAGACACGCGCAGGACTTGCGGGAAGGGGGGGGGGGGGTTCTTTCCCGTGACGGAAAACTGGGGGGGGGGGGGGGAGAAACGTTATCTGGTACGTGTCTCTCCCTCTCTCTCTCTCTTTCCTCTCCTCTCCTCCTCTCCCTCTCCTCCCCCCCCCTCTCTCTCTCTCTCTCTCTCTCTCTCTCTCTCTCTCTCTCTCTCTCTCTCTCTCTCTCTCTCTCTCTCTCTCTCTCTCTCTCTCTCCTCTCCTCTCTCTCCTTCTCTCCTTTTCTCCCTCTCCCTTCCCTCCCCCCTCCCTCTTCCTCCTCCTCCTCCTCCTACCCCCCCCCTTTCTCTATCTATCAATCCATCTTTCCATCCACTCTCTCTCCCTTTCTTCCAATCTACCAATCTATCTCCCTCCGTTTCTCTCTCTCTCCTTCCCCTCAAAGCCTCCCCTCGCGAGCTCTCCTTCTCCTTTAGGGAATACCGGTAGACGAGCCGGCAAGAATTCTGAAGTATGGATTGAAATTGAGACTTTAATAACGACAGAAGCGATGGTCGTAGCTTTTCGTCGGGATGAGAAGGTCCGTTTATATTCGGTTATTATTTATTTCTCCATTTTATTCTGGATGCGAAGGGTGGGCTGACTCCGATCAAATATTTGCCGAGCTGACACTTTTGCCGTCAGCAAGACAGATGTTAAGTGCATTTATCTCTCTGTCTGTTATTTATTTGGCAATAGGTGACTATGTAGTTCAGTTTTCTTGCCTTCGCTATTGCACAAATGTTTTTTTTTAAGATAATATCTTCTTTTTTCGTTTTTATTCATTCATTGTTTGCAGGGAATTTTATCTCTTGTTCCATTATCAGTGTGATTATGTGTGTACCCTTTGACGATGTTAGATAGACTGTACATATTTTTCTTCTATTTTGCGTAAAGATCATTCCATATATTTAGTTTCTCTCTCTCTCCCTCTCTCCCTCCCTCCCTCCCTCTCCTTCTCTTCCCTCCTCTCCCTCCCCTCTCCCTCCCTCCCTCTCTCCCTCTCCCTCCCTCCCCTCCCTCTCCCTCTCCCTCCCCTCCCTCCTTCTCCTTTCCCTTTCTCTCTCTCTCACTCTATTTCCCCCCGCGGGCGCGAAAAGAAACTCTCCATCACATTGGATCACAATAAAATTTATAGATAAGCCAGTAGAGTTCTTGGGCTGGTGACGGCGCTGGGTTCTGACGGCTTATTACTTGATACAGGCCGAGACATAGAGGAACGTGTGGGTTTTGATATCAATGGGATCCTCTGTATCAGTCTATCTAGTCTATCTCTCTCTCTCTCTCTCTCTCTCTCTTTCTCTCTCTCTCTCTTTCTCTCTCTATCTCTCCTCTCTCTCTCTCTCCTCTCTCTCTCTCTTCTCTCTCTCTCTCTCTCTCTCTCTATATATATATATATATATATATATATATATATATATATATATATATATATATATATATATATATATGTTATCGATATCTCTGTCTATCTATTTATTATCTTCTATCTATTTATCTTGCTATCTATCTAAGTATCTATCTATCATATCCATCTATTTGTCTATCTGACTATATATCTACTTCCTCCCCCCCCTCCCCTCCCCCACCACCCGCCCATAAACAATCATCCTTAAAACACATTTCGCGTTAGATTCGTACCCTCTCTCCCAAAATCCGAAAATGTGTTTAATAATATGCCAGGCGTGACAGATTTTATTCCTGTCACGTGGTTTCTGTCAGGAAGCGGCGGCCATACTTGCTTCCTTGCAACCCCCCACCCCCCTACCCCTTCTAGCGTTTTTCTCTCTCCTTTCGTTTTTTTTTCTCTCTCTCTCTCTCTCTCTCTCTGTCTGTCTGCGTCTGTCTCGTCTCTTTTTTGGTTTTGTCTGTCACTGTGTGTTTGTTTCTCACTCTTTTTGTCTGTGTCTGTTTTTCTTCTCTTTATCTCTCTCTCTCTCTCTCTCTCTCTTCTCTCTCTCTCTCTCTCTCTCTCTCTCTCTCTCTCTCTCTCTCTCTCTCTCTCTCTCTCTCTCTAACTCCGTCCTTTCCCCCCCTTCCCCCCACCCTTTCTGCTTCCCCTTCTCCCCTTCCACTTCCTTCTTTACCCTTACTCCCCCTCCTTCCTACCATTTCTCTCTTTCTCCCTTCTTCCTTTTTTATTTCGTTAAAAATGAGGAAAGAGAGAAAGAACGAAAAGAAGAGAAAAAGAGGGAAAAAGAGAAAAGAGAAGAGAAAAAAAGGTACGAAGAGAGAAGAGAAGAGAAAAAGAGAAGAAAAACACACTAAGAAAAGAGAAAAAGAGAAAACACACGGAGAGAGAAGAGAAGAGAAAAAGAAAGAGAGAGAAGAGAGAGAAAAAGAGAAAAAAATAACACGAAGAGAGAGAGAGAGAAGAGAAAGATAAAGAGTAGGGGAGCAGAGAGAAGAAAAATTGTCAATTCTCGACGTTTCGTGTCCCGGCGGGGTTTAGCTCTCTCTTGCGCCTTCTTAAACAGCCATGCGAGAAAAATGGCCAAAGCATATGTTTTGGACGGAGGGAATGTTGCCCTAAATAGATTACGAGAGCGGCGGGAATCTTGGGAATTCTTGTTTGCTGTGCGATTGTTACCCTTCGTTTGATGTTTGTGCGTTTGGAAGTGGTGGGGGGAGGGGTGGGAGGGGAGGGTTTGTGTGTAGGAGGGGAGGATTGTGTGTGTGTGTGTGTGTGTGTGTGTGTGTATGTATGTGTGTGTTGTGTGTAGAGGAGGGGGTTTTGTGTGTGTGTGTGTGTGTGTGTGTGTGTTGTGTGTTGTGTGTGTGTGTGTGTGTGTGTGTGTGTTGTGTGTGTGCTAAGTGTGTGTGTGTGTGTGTGTTTGTGTGTGTGTGTGTGTGTGTGTGTGTGTGTGTGTGTGTGTGTGTGTGTGTGTGTGTGTGTGTTATGCATGAAAGGGGGAAGGGTTTGTAAGGAATATTTCTGATTGTATTATTTTTTTTTTTTCAATGACGAAGATGACGACAGGAGGAAGAGAGCGAGGGATAAGGGAGAGGAAGGATAGGAGAAAGAGAGAAAAAAAGAAAAAAAAAATAATATAATAGAAAGAGAAATGGAAAGACAAACGAAGAGAGAAAGGAGGATAAAAGAGAAGGAACGAGAAGCAAGAGGCCGTTCTTCGGACTGCGACCCCGAGACCGAGCCAGCGAAACTTCACGCTCGAACCAACGAACCGACGAAGCACCGAAGCAACAATGCGGGGAGGATCTTGCTAAATGAACCGGCTGCCAAAACACCGGAGGAACTATTTAATTAAACTAGATATTTAAGAGAGCGAAGGAACCCCCCTTTGCAATAGGCATCGTTGCAAAATGGATTGTATCGCCAGGGACCAAATATTCGCAATGGCTACGCTGCAGCTTTCTTGATCTGGGCTTTCTGTGCGCATTCTGTGTGAAGCCTCGAGAGCCGGTTCGCTCAGAGGAATATCGGCCCTATGGTGTTTCTCCATAGGAAGCAGTATGGTTTCCCATTCGACTGGAAATGCGCGCGAGTATAGTGAATAATGCATTGGAACAGTGAGACGGGAGACACGGTCGCCTCGCTCACTGCAGCGCTGTTCCCGTGACGGTCATGAGAGCAGCTTCAGCGAATCACGGTTGCGTCACTGATCTGGATGCAGCGTGATTGGAGCATCCCAGGCCGTCTCTGAGGCCGTCTCAGGCAAATGTATGCATGCATGCACAAGTATACTTTATGTATATATCATTATAAGTATATAAGTAAATATATTATATATATATATATATATATATATATATATATATATATTATGTATGTATGTGTGTATATATATACATATATATATATATATATATATATATATATATATATATATATATATATATATGCAAATACAGACTGTATTGGTATACATCCCCTTGCATAGAGAATATGAAGGCGGCGGACTTATGTGTAGCCAGAACAATGAAGGAAAAAACTCGGGCGCAGAATGTCGAGAAAGAGAAATTTACCTTCAAGAAGTCCCCTTAAGTGACCGTGCGTCCGGCAGAAATTCCAATATGTCAAGAGCCTCCTCTCCGTATATTCTAACATCTTGAGAGAGAGAGAGAGAGAGAGAGAGAGAGAGAGAGAGAGAGAGAGAGAGAGAGAGAGAGAGAGGAGAGAGAGAGAGAGAGAGAGAGAGAGAGAGGGAGAAGAGGGAGAGAAAAGGAGAGAGGGAGACAGAGAGGGGGGGGAGAAGGGGAAGAGGGAGAGAGAGAGGGAGAGGGGGCGGGGAGAGAGAGAGAACTTTATTTTCTACATACAAGGACGAGACTGAAAGGGGTGGAGGAAT